CTATCTTATCACTGAAGACTCGAAAGAATAGATGTTTGCTAGACAAACATACTTCACGAAATATTCTTCATCGAAATGACTATCATATTACTTTAAAATGTGTTTGTCTGCGCAAGTCGTCTTTTCCCAATGTAGATAATTTATTACTTTACAACGTCGTTTTCTTTTCATAAGAAACGTATTGTTTAACAATCTATCGCAAATTCGATATACAGGATGAGTATGCCTGATTTGAAACTCTTAGCATTTCATTGAACGACTAGAGACGAGTGGACGTGATGCCAAGATTAGTCTTTGAAGCGATTCTATCAATCTCAACCTAGTATTCTCAATTTTCTCGTTTGTGGACAATTCCAAACGTCCTAAGATCACTTGAGAATTTAAATTCATCTTTCAAACTGACAAGATAGAGCCAAGAAAAATGGAGCTGATGTTTATAAGTAATGCTTCTGGCTAAATCAAGGTCTTTTCTTTGCGAAAAACATCATATAAAATCCCTACGTAATGAAGTCGTTTTGATTGTCTACATATCAACACTCGTAACACTTAGAATGGCTTGTTATAAAGAAATGCGCAGGTACGACTACAAATTGTATAAATTGTCCAAAGATATTCCCGACCGAATAGATTTCATGAAATCTCATGAAAATCTTGCAATAAGAGTTGGCATAGGATAGTCACATAGACGACTATTTCACCTCATCTCTTTCGGTCACAGAGCATCACACAACCAGTCTTATAGAACTTTGCTCCAGCGTGTACATCTTCCCGTCTTCACCTTCTCATCTCTATATGTATTAGTCTTTGCACGTATGTCACACTGCTTTCTGGTTAATTCTATAAATGTTAGTCTCGTAATTGCGAATTACCATCATGGTGAAGTCAAAAGAACGCCGACATGACCAGTATCGCGAGGGATCACTTTACTTTCTGCCTATCTACTTCAACGCTTGTTAGTAATCATGCCTCATAAAAATTCAAACTACAATAAAGGCATAACTACCACAAAATAATTCAGTCAGGACGGAGCGATTTTTGGACCAAGGATCGGAAAGAAAAGCCTGATGCGCAACAGTTATTATCGGAAGACATAGTTCAATGATCGATGAAGTTATAACGAGTGTTTCAGGATAAATTGCATTAAATGTTATTACAGTTTTTGTCTCACTAAATATCCCTTGTAAATTTCTCTCATGTTCCAAAAGACAGATATTTACAAGAAATATTTAGTGAAACAAATATAAGATATATGATTATTGTGCGCATTCGACTGGCTATTCAACTGAAACGTATTTCTTTCTTATAGATTTTTTTGTCCAATCATTACTAATGTCTACGACACCCACTAGTTCATGGAATAATGTTATTTATCGGATTGCAAATCACTTTTTGAGTAACACAAATACTAATACTGCATCCAATGCTCCTAATGCTAGTGCTGATAATAGACAGCCATCGACATGGATAGATTCTTATAATCGACTCAATTATATGTTATCAGGCAGTTTACCTTACCTATGCTGTCGTATTATTGACGTCATTCTTCTTTCTCTTGGCCTCCACTATGGTACGGGAACATGCAATATCTCGAAGTCTTTTGCTCAACTCTCGATTTGCCTACTCATTTTTAATATTATCGATCTTATCATTGTACTTTACTTTCTGGCATATAACTTAGCCTCGCGTACTGTCATTTTATCCAACGAAGAATGGAAGAAGCGATTACGACTAGTTTTTTTTCTACGTTACGGTTTCCTTTTACTCAAACTGTTTATCATTTGTGTTGGCACTGCTTTTGTGTTCACAGCAACTGTACCGTCCAATACTGGTTGTGAGCTCATTCGTGTTTGTCTTGGGATTGTGTGTTTTAGTACATGGCCTTTGATATTCACACCATTATCTAGACCTGTATTACCTATGCGATCACGGCTCAAAACATTTATAACAGTTTTATCACCTATTTTTTTCAATTGTTTTTATCTTGGATTCATAGGATCAGTCACATCCAAAACACACAATCCAGCATGTCTATATACCGATGCCGAAGCTCTTTACTTCCACGCTCCACTCAAAAGTTTTGCCTATACTGGACTTGTACTCTTTAGTTGCAGAACGATCATGGATATAATTAGAATTATCATTAATCGACTGTATGCTCGCTTACCCAGTTGGCGAACAGTTCTCATACGTAGATTGGCTGTTCACTATGCTTTGTCTTATTTGGTAACTCTCTCTATTGTCTATTATTTATCAGTTGGAGCAATCCTTCTTTTTCAACCTCGTTCAGGTGAGTCTTGCCGTTTAGTAGCACCTAACTTATACAAAACTCTCTTGTATTGGCAATGGTTTTGCATCTTTTGGCCAGCTGTTGCAGTTCCAGCTTTTGCTGCATTTTTGTATGTGTGTTTTGCTTTTGGATTGTGTTTCAGAGGTTGTTTGCCTGAATCTGTCACCGTTCCACTTTTTGACATTTTCACGGTACTGATTTTCAAAGATTCCAATTTAAATATTTTCTACTCTCTTAGGAGCGAATACCGGACGTAATACCACAGGACACTGTCCCAGACGTTCCTGATTCTTCGGAAACATTCGATAGCATTAATGAACTACCAATGGTATTTTTTCGACAAGATTCCAATCGATTCAACTTGACTGAATGGTAAGTGAATTGACATATCAGATGGATTAATTTTTTGTTTTTTCTCTTTTTCATTTATCAGTGTCATCTGTCAAATGAATTTTGAGGCGAATGAACAAGTAAAAAGACTTCCATGTAGCCATATTTTTCATTCCGATTGTGTATCCAATTGGCTATCAATGACACATATTTGTCCTATTTGTCGTCAAGAGACGAGATCAACAGTGACAATAACCCATTTGTAGACAGTGGAACGACTTCATTCCCTATTATTTGAAAATCTGTTTGTTGATTGTTCTTTATAATTTACAACAGAAATCCAGGGCTTTACAGTATTCTGAGAAAATAAGATCTAGGATAGATGCTCAGGGTGTGGGTGTGGGTAGGTACGAATGTGAGTTGAAGCAGAGAAATCACTCACACCTCCTAGGTCAAGGTGCTCGGATACTTTTACTCACCGTACATCCACCATCTGACATATGAATTCTTAATGCATCAAGACTCGATATGAAAATACGATTTTCTACGTACTATTTGATGTGCCATGAGCTGCTCTACAAACTGCATATGTGGATTTTTTAATTCAAGCAAGTCATCGAATCTGATAGGATCCTTTTCCCTCCAAAAGTACCATAATTTTTGTCAAAGTACTATTTTCAATTTGGAAATATATTATTTCTTTCCTCTAAATATCTTGATTGGATAGAGCAAACAAAGTTCTCTATAAGACAGGAGTTTCATAAGAATTCGACTTCTGCAAGAATTTCCTTGTATTCAGTCTTCACAAGAGACTGGAGCAAGGTGGTCGGATACTTTTTTTTACCCACTGTAGATTTTCTTCAAAGTTCTTTTTTCAAATATCATCAGCTAGTTATATAAGAGATCGAAGGGTGTGAATAAAAAACTTGTCAGTGCAATCTCTTTATGGAGCTGAAATATGAAAGTAACATGTGTTCTTTAGCCTCATTATACTAATACAAAATACATAACGTGAAAAATCTCTAGCAGACTATGGTTGTTTTTTAAGAATAGTCAATTGGCAGAAAAATGATCTCTTATTTATTTCTGTATTTGGAACATAAAGTTTTT